TTTTAAAACTGTTTAAATTTATGTGTATCAAACACAAGGTCCCAAGAAATGCTCCATGTCTATCTGCTCTGTGTCTGAATAACAGTTTTTAGACATAAAGTAAATATCTAAATAATAATCAACCCCAGAAACCAGTGTCATAGAAAGAATGAAATAGCTGAAGCTTTATTTATATTATCTACCCTAATTTTCCCCAACTGAATGTTGAAAGTCAGAATGTACACATCTGAAAGAATATCACAAAGCAGGCACTTTACAAATATTAACTATTTTATCATTATAAAAGTGATGCATACTCATTTTAGAAAACAGAGCTAAACACACACATAAAAAATTTATTTGTAGTTTTGCCACCCAAAGGTAATTACAACTGATACTTATGTATCAACCATCTGTGCACTGACACATCCATAACACCAAAATGGAAGCATCTAGTATATATTGTTTGTGATCCTGAGAAGTGCATTCTTCTGTTCATATGTAGATATCTCTAATTTTCCAGCTATTATGCAGAATAAGATTCAGCAAACCTGCATGAAACGTATGGTATGGTACCAAAGAAATATAAGAGTAGATTCCTGACCAGGGTTCACATCTACCAATTCTCTATATTGAGAGTTTGGTAACTTAATTTACCTAATTGCAATAATGATTATTTAATTGTGTTTCATCTTGCTTGCCATTTTGTATTCTAAACATTTTTAATGGAACTGCCTTCCCTTTTCTTTATCCCGAGTTCTCTCCATTAGAAACTACAGCATTTTATTTCACTGCAAAATGGATATTAATTAGCAGCAGAGATCAAAGAATCATGTTACAATCCCTTATGGAAATTATTAAGATTCCTCTTCTGCTTTTTCATGAGTCTTTGTCCCAAAACTGAAGCAATAACTTGGTCACATTTTTAAAAACTATACAAAAAGGAATTATTATTGTTGCTTACTCTTGCTGTCCTTTTTCCATGACCACAGGGAGCCAAATGCTAATTCTTTATTGGATTTGTTATTGGAAGTGTTGCCAATACGGAATTGGAAAAAGAAAACAATCGAGCTTCCTAAGTAGACCACAGAGCACAAATCTTCAAATTAGCTCCAATAATTAAGGCATCTTGTGAAGGGCTTCAATGACAGGATAAACTCATCTGTCCCTAGCACAAGACCCATATCAATTACCCTGGGTCTAAGGAGGCTGGTACACAACAAAGGAAATCAAAATACAGAGGCTGACAGTCTAGACAAAGCCTGACTCTGGTCAAAAGCAGCCTCTCCAAGTGTTATCTTTAAGCCAAGTGGTTTTAAATAAGTTTAAATACCAACAGGGGGTTAATTTGAAATCAGTTTGATTCTATTTTTGAATTAATGCCTTTACAAATCTGCTTTTATAATTTCTGCTTATCAAGGATTGCCCTTCTGGTATAAAAACTGAGCCAAGACTCAGTTATCAAATACTATGAAGGGTTCTGTTAATTAGATAGTTTATCTGTGATGAGTTGTTGACACTGAGATGATGTGTGTTAAATAATTTTAAAATATTCTGCGGGGCACTAACTTGGTGGCTCAAAGCATTATTCTTCAATTTTTCAGACCCTGCTTTAAGTCACACTAGAATCTCTTAGTATAAATTAATGTGAATCATTTCTTAAATATAGAATCATTCATATCTTAAAATTATCTGTATGAGAGAATAAATCTTCTGGCGCTCTTTATTAGGCTGTTGTAGACCATTCTAACTAATCCAGCCTCTTTCACATGATGGTTGGTCTTTAACTGCTTGGTAGAGACTGCCAGGAAATTCATCATTGCTGTTATTAAACACAATTCTCAGGATTTGCTCTTTTTATAATGTTTCTTGTAAAAGCTTTTTTGTGTGATTTTTCCTCTGGCTTCTTGTTCTACTTCCATATAGGGCAACCCAGGAGAAATCTCAGACACTGAAATATTTTTACTCATGTAGGTAAATTAAAGCTCCAGCTGTTAAGGGTTTTTCTTTCTGTCTGTCAATTTTCTTTTTCAAGTTATGGTCTGTGAAGGCAGAGGCCAAGAACAGTCCACAGGGAATGGCTTGGAGCCTTAGAACAAGCTGGTATCCTTGTATTTTCTAGAGGAAAAAATATTGGACTCCAAAGTTTAACATCAGGAAAGCTGCTAATTAATTAGCCCATAAATTGTTAAAAGCACGAATCATTCATTATCATCTCTGGGATTTCATTTTAAGCTCCCCTTCAAATATTGATTTTGTTTACCGCTTTGTTTCTTTATATTTTTGCTCTTTTCTTTTCTCACACGTTCTCTAAGAGACATGATATTCTATGTCTCATAGAATCTGAAGTCCTGAGGTTTTTGTTTAATTAATAGTCATAATGTGTTTAACTGGTATGTACATGACTTAGAAAAAGAAATGGTTCTTTCAAGGTAGTGAAGCTCTCTTGGAAAAAAAAAAAAATCACTAAACTCACAGGAATCCTTAGTTTATATTCTAGTGTTATCATTATCTGTGGCCTCAGGCAAGTTGACTGCCTAGGTCTTGGTTTTCTTATTTGTTAAATAAGGAGATTAGAATCCATGAATATCCTTTCCATGTCTAATAGTCTAGGATTCTCTTTATCAAAAGAACTTAGTGTAGGTGAAAGAATAAAAATGGAGTTCACGTGAGGAAATAGTTGGCAAGCAGCCATTTGAAACTGTTTTTGTTCATTTTCTTCAAAGAAGATTTTGAAGAAAATTATCAACAAAGAAAGGAGAATATTGGCAATCAGGTAAGTGGAAAGAACTCCGGACAAGGAGTGGGGATCCAGTTCTAGTCACAGTTGCACCACTGACAACTTAGTGATCATGAAAAAATTATGAAATTGAAGATTCTGAGGCCAAAGATTGGACTCAAAACTGAAAAAGTTTGATTTTATTATGATAGTGCCTTTCACTCCCAAACTGCTATGATTCTATAAAATGGCCCCAAAGTCAGGGAAGAGGATAACTGGAAATGTCCTCGTAGTTATTGTCAATGAATGCTATCCTTTCATTTCTGATTAGGGAACGTTGTTCAAAAACATCGTATCCTAGAATATCAACTCAGAAGTAAAACATACCCTTGGGGACTCTAAACAAATGCTATAACCAGTAGTAACTTTCTGAATCTGTAATATTTTAGTTTTAATGACGGCGATCTCCATGGACTCACCCTGAGTTAAGGATTATAAAGAAAGTTGTTCCATATATTTCTTTTGTTCCTCCTCTAAATTTCTTGTTTGTTTTTTGACCCAGAATATAACTGAAATAGCTAACAAAAATCAAACCACTACTAAAAATATAAATCCTAGTGGTAAATCTCAAGATGATTAGGACATGTGAAGTATTTGTACTCTTTCTGCAAAATTTCCTACACTGTCTAGGCACCCTCTAGCATATTGAATTTTTGCAAAATAGCCATATTACCTGCAAGCTGACAATACTCATGCATTCCAGCCTTTTAACAGAAGAAATATTTTCATTAATATTTTTAAGCTGTATATCAGTGTAAAAACTCAAAAGAATCAAGACTCAAAGGGAAAAACCTAGCCAAAAAAAATGTATTACAGAGGATAGTTTCCAGATTTTAATGATTTACCAAGTGAAAAATATAAAAAGTGGTAGATTTTTTTTCCTCTTAAAACATCAAGTACTGGACACTGCCCAAGGTAAGACTGCAAAAGCAGATGGTGTAATCATCCATTCCAGATAGTCAGTTCTGCTTCTTTCCTGCTTGTCTCCCTGGAACCCAGCCAGGAGCTTCTCCTTTTTCTTCAGGACATGGATGCTTCCCCTATGCTGGGACCCTCATTTTTTCATAAGTCCTACTTTGGAGAAGCAGCACATTCCAACAGCCCTTGCTTTGAACCATAGTATAAAAGATGTAGGCTCTGTTCTCAATTTCTTCATGGTCCTGGTATGCAACCTGGTCCAAATACTTTTAGCCAACCCCTCTTAATTCCATGCTTTGATTTTTCTTTGATTGGTAAGAGAATAATTGGCAACATTTGAATTCACTGAATGCACATTTAATGCATTAATAATCATGATCCATTATACCAGGACATAGAACTCACAACTAAAGCTTTTTAATGATTAAATAAGAAATCTGTACTTTAAATTTTCACCCATAGAGTTTTTGGATCATAGCAACCAACTAACTTCCATTAGCCTCCTACACAATCATTTTGAAATAGGAAACCAGAATAGAGGTTAAGGGAATTTCCTTAGGCCACAATCCAAGTTTCAGTAATAACTTCTTTCCTCAACATAAGTCATTTACTTTAAAACTCCCCAAACAAAAAGGTTTTCCATGTTAGTCTGTAAAATATACACAGTACCCACTAAGCACAGCAAAAAAATCTCCAAATACTCATGATTTTAAAATAAATCATGAGTTAAACTATGTTTTAATGCCTAAAAGGCCCAGTAACTTTAAAATTGTTCCCTCAAAATAGGCTCTCATATTGTTTTCATGTTGTACTTCCAGTGCTTGAAACACAGCAGAGATTACAAATGTATATTGAATGGATGACGAATTGTTGACAGTAGTCTGAAATAAGGTAGCACCAAGAAAATGAGAAATTGCGCAAAGTGGACTGTCTGTAGGAATGTTATAAAAATAAAAATACAAAGAGCAGGTAAAGGTGTTGAAAATATGTTGAAGAAGAGGGAATCTAAAGGGGTTTCCCAGTTTCTGACTTAAGAGACCAGATGATGCCATTCAATGAGATAGGAAATATGAGGGAAGAGGAGGTAGGTGGGTGCATGGACAATGAGATCGACATTATAAGTGCTAAATCAAAAACTATCATGGAACATGGAGGGAGAATTATTTGATAAGAAGTTGGATATACATATTTGAGTTGAATAGAAACATTTGTGACTTGGAAGTCATCATCATGTGTATCATAATTGAAGTTACGTCAGTGAATGAGATTACCAATGTGATGGTTAATTTTAGGTGTCAACTTGACTTGCTTAAGAGATACTCACATAGCTGCTAAAGTAAAATCTCTGGATATGTTGTGGAGGTGTTTCCAGAAGAGACTGGCACTTGAATCAGCAGATTAAGTAAGGAAGATCTACCTTCACCAATTTCATCCAATCTGTTAAGGACCTAGATAGAATAAAAAAGCAGAGGAAAGGTGAATTCGCTTTCTCCTCTGGGACTGGAAAATCCTTCTTCTATTGCTCCTGGATGTCAGAACATCAGGTGTTCAGGTTTTTGACTTTGGACTGAGAGTTACACCATTGGCTCCCATGGTTCTCAGGCCTTTGGACTTAGACTGAATTGTACCACCAGCTTCCCTGATTATCCAGCTTGCAGATGATGCTATATCATGGGACTGCTTTCTACTTTTTTTAAATACACACACACACACACACACACACACATTTTATTATTTTATTTTATTTTATTTTTTGAGATGGAGTTTCACTCTTGTTGCCTAGGCTGGAGTGCAAGGCGCGATCTCGGCTTACCGCAATCTCCGCCTCCCGGGTTCAAGCGATTCCCCTGCCTCAGCCTCCTGAGTAGCTGGGATTACAGGCATGCACCACCACACCTGGCTAATTTTGTATTTTCAGTAGAGATAGGGTTTCATCATGTTGGTCAGGCTGGTCTCAAACTCCCAACCTCGGGTGATCCACCTGCCTCAGCCTCCCAAAGTGCTGGCATTACAGGCATGAGCCACCATGCCTGGCCGACACACACATATATTTTAGAGACAGGATTTCATTTTGTCACCCATGCTGGAGTGCAGTGGTGCAATCACGGCTCACTGTAACCTCAAACTCCTGGACTCAAGCAATCCTCTTACCACAGTCTCCTACATAGGTAGGACTACAGGTGCGCAACACCATGCCTGGTTAATTTTCTATTTTTTTATTTTATTTTATTTTATTTTATTTTATTTTATTTTATTTTATTTGTTTTTTGTAGAGACGGGATCTCATTATGTTGCCCAAGCTGGTCTTGAGCTCCTGGACTCAAGGGATCCTCCTATCTCAGCCTCTGAAAGTGGTTGGATTACAGATGTCAGCCACCATGCCTGGCCTCATGGGACTTCTCAGCCTCCATAACTGCATGAACCAATTCCCATAATAAATCCCCTTTTATATATATATATTATATATATAAATATGCATATATGTCCTCATTAGGTCTATTCCTTTGAGGAACCCTGACTACGATACCTAGGCAATAAGTATAGAACAGTATATCAATATAATTTGAAATTAGTGTGAAGCCTCCAACTTTGTTTTTCTTTCTCAGGATGGTTTGTCTCTTCAGGGTCTACTGTAGTCCCATATGAATTTTAGAATTATTATTCTATTTCTGTGAAAAATGCCATGGAAATTTTGATAGGGATTTGCACTGAATCTATACATTGCTTTAGGTATTAAGGATATTTTGACACTACTAGTTATTCCACTCTACAAACACAAGATATCATTTTATTTATTTGTATCTTCTTTAATTTCTTTCATCAGTGTTTTATGATTTTCAGTGTACAGACCTTTCATTTCCTTGATTAAATAGTTCTTATTTTGTTCTTGTTGATGCTATCATAACTGGGATTGTTTTCCTGATTTGTTTTAGATACATCATTGTTGGTGTAAAGAAATGCAACTAATTTTTGTATATTGATTTTTTTATCCTGATACTTTGCTGATTTTATTTATTAGTTTTAACAGGTTTTTTGGGAGAAGTCTTTAGGGTTTGCTACATTTAGGATCATGTCATCTGCAAATGGGGATAATTTTACCTTTTCTTTACAATTTAGATGCCTTTTATTTCTTTTCCTTGTCTAATTGCTCTAGCTAGTACTTCCAGAACTATGTTGAATAGAAGTGGTGAGAGTGGGCATCCTTGGGTTATACCAGATCTTAGAGGAAACGTTTTTTCTCATTGATCACAATATTAGCTGTGGGCATTCATAAATAGCCCTTATCATATTGAGGAAATTTCCTTCTATATCTATTTTGCTGACAGCTTTTATCACGAAAGGATGTAGAAATTTGTCAAATGCTTTTTCGGCATCAATTGACATGACCATGTGCTTTTATCCTTCATTCTGGAAATGTTGTACGTTACATTGCTTGATTTGCAGGTGTTTGGTACATTCTTAAATGATTGTGAGGGTTGCTAAATTTTTAATTTGTCAAGGACATTATAAGTATATATATATATATATGTAGCCTTTACTATTATTACTATTTCATAGAAGTAGAAGACAGATATTTCAACACAAAACAAAGTATAGATAACAAAATCCTAAAACAAAGGACAGTCCTCCCAATTAACCAATTAATGTAGATAAAAGACTCATTACACTGACCTTCATTGAAAAAATAGCTATCATGAAATGACACTATTTGAGGACAAGCGTTTGGGAAGAACTGGTACCACTGTAAACAGATTTCCAAGGACAAACACCCAGGGAATGCTCATCTTTAAGTGCTCATCAGAGAAGAAGAGTCTACAAAAGAGACTGAAAAGCAGTAAATGGAGAAGTAGAAGGTAAATCTAGGGAAGGGTGACATACTATAAGCCAGAAAAATTATATAATGTTTCAAGAAGCATGTAGTCAACAATTCAGATGCCACTGAAAGCCAACGGACATATTAACAGAGAGTTGCTGATATCCTAAGTAAGAATAGTTTTATACTAAAATAATATGATGTGAAGACTTCACCTCTGGGCTGACTCAGGCAATACAACAAATTTTGTTGAGACTTCTAAATTCAGATCAATAAGTATTTATATAAATGAAATCACACAAAGTTTGCCCTTTTTAAATTGATTCATAATAGATACGCATATTTGGGGTACATGTGATATTTTGATACATTTATATTAATGTGTAATAATCAAATCAAGGTAATTGCAATGTCCATCACTTCGAACATTAACTTTTCTTTATGCTAGGAACATTCAAATTATTGTCTACTAGCTGCTTTGTAATAACAAAGATTACAGTTTTATTAGCTGCTTTGTAATAACAAAGATGATAGTTAACAGATTGCTGTTAACTACAGTCACTCTACTGATTTATTGAAGACTAGGTCTTATTTCATCTACCTATATTTTTGTACCCATTAATCACCTTGTCTTCATTGCCTCCAACCCCTACCCTTCCCAGCCTCTGATAACCACCAAACCGGTGTACAGAGAGCATTTAGCACACACTAACTGAATACCCTCTGTGCAACATCTACATTGATCCATCACCAATGATTATGTTTTGTATCTTATTTTCTGATTTTAACCATTTTACTTCTAACAAGTATGTCAAATGTATAAAGAGGAAAAACAAGAAGGAATTTCTACCAGGGCAGGGAAAGCTTCATAATGGATCCGAAAAAAAATCATGTAATTAGATGTTGGCAACTTTCAACCCAACCCTCCCATCAAGGACAGAAAAGAGAATAAAGGCTGAGTTGATCAAAAATGATCAATAATTTAATCAAGTGTGTCTATGTAATGAGGCCTCCAGAAAAACCTAAAAGGACCTGATTTGATGAGCTCCTGGATTGGGTTGATGAACATCCACTCCTGGGAGGGAAGTGTACCTCAACTCCATGGGGACTGAAACCCTTATGTTTAGGACCCTTCCAAATTTTGTTCTATGGATCTCTCCATCTGCTTCTTCATTTTTATACTTTAACATATTCTTTGTTATACAGTGATAATAGTGAGTAAGGAGTTTCCTTGAATTCTGTGAGCCACTCTAGCTAATTAATACATGCCAAGGAGTGGTATCATGGAAACCCCCAACTTATTGTTAGTTGGTCAGAGGTACAGGTCACAACTTGGGACTTGTGATTGGCATGTGAAGTGGAGGGCAGTCTTGAGGAACCAAGGCCGAAAGCTGTAGGATCTGATGTTAACTCCCAGTAGAGTGTGTGAGAATTGATTTCAACTGAAGCATACCTAGCAGTTTCTGCTGAGTACTGGTTGTTGGTGGGGAGAAATCCCCACACATTTTGGTGATCATAAGTGTTCTGTGTTGAGGGAGTTTGTGAGAGTAGGAAAAACAGTTTGTTTTTCCTGTTCAATTTAGTTTTGGCCAAATGAGGGTAGATCAAAAATAGTATGGAATATGATGACATACCTTAGTTGATTAGGTGATGTTTGAGGATAGAGGTGAAAGTTGAGAAACTTTATACTTAAAGTGAATGAGAGAGTGATCAAGAATCCCAGGAAGAGAGAACAGTATGGGAAAAAAGTGTTTCCTTCCATTTGTGGTTTCCTTTCAACATTACCAATCTATAAATGTCTGGTCTTTGGATTATTCTTTGAATTGACTGTCAACATCTTTCCAGTTTCCTAATTAATAATAATTTAAATAAAAATTTAGCTTGTGTATTGAAAAAAAGAAATCAACATAAAAATCTATGGATTATCACCAAAGAAGATATACAATAGCCAACAAACATATAAAAAGATACTCAACATCATTAGTCATCCAGGAAATGCAATTTAAAACCACAAGATACCACTTCATACCCACTAAGATGGCGAGAATTAAAACAGACATACACACACATACACACACACACACACACACACACAAAATAACAAGATACTTTGTGGGTGGGAATATAAAATGAGGCAGCTGCTCTGGAAAACAGTATGGCAGTTTCTCAAAATGTTAAACATAGAGCTACCATGTGACCCAGCAATTACATTTCTAGGTGTATACTCAACGGAATGGAACACAGGTGTTCAAAAAAAACTTGTACATAAATGTTCATAGTAGCATTATTCATAAAAACTAAAGAGTGCAAAAAGTGGAGACAACCCAAATGTCTATCAGCTTATAAACGGATGAACAAAATGTGCTATATCTGCATAATGAAATATTATTCAGCCATAAAAATTATTAATATATGCAACATCATGGATAAATCTTGAAACACTATGCTAAGTGAAGGAAACCAGACACATAAAGTGACATATTGTATTATTTAATCTATTTCAAATATCCAGAATAGGCAAATTCATAGAGACACAAAGCATACTAGTGGTTGCCAGGATTGGAAGAAATGAGGATTGACAGCTTAATGGGTACAGGGTGTTCTGTGTATGTGGTAGGGGAGAAAGGGAGAGGT